GAATTTTCCATTTTTAACGAAGCATGAAGACCCCCGCTGGGGGTCATTATGATCCGTTATGGAACAAAGATGTTTTTGACCAAATATTGGATATGTACCTCTAAGCTGTGAACAGCCAGAGAGATTAGTCCAAAGTGCTCTGCTCATTCCAATAATAATCTGCTCGCTGTTAAATGTAAATTATATGGATTGCAGTAATATAAATGGATAGAAAGATGTCATTTTTTATGTTGCATAAGCGTGGTTCCGTACGAAATCCCCCCCCCCCCGTTTGATACTTGGTTCGCCATTTTGTTTACTAGTCTAAAACAGGCAAGACGGATCCGTGAAACAACTGTAGCTGTGTGTGACGGTGTAATGAACCACTTTGCCCCTATACGTGTTTCATGCATGACGTCCGTCAGGTCTATTATTGTAGTGCATTAAACCGAGCTGGCTGTCTGCTCAACTGATTCTTTGGTTAGTATGTGAAGTGGTCTACACTGTGAAATAGTACACGTAGTATACGTACTACGTCACAGGAGGAAAGGCCAATTAATCGTCAGCTGTCCATTGTGCCCCAAGGAAATATGTCTTATGTAGGTACAAGTGAATTCATATACAATAGCTGTTATATCTTTTTATCTTATTTTAACAGGATGTTAGATGAAATATTGGCATGTACACTGGTCTGAACTTGATAATCAAGTATACGAACACACGCAGCTATCCTACAAAGGAGGTACATGTATACAACTAAAACCTACGAGGCCTATTTAGTCACGCAACCTTAATTTAATATAAACATGGTGGGACAGTTGTTTGGTCTTCATGCTCGATTGAATTACTCTTCCCTATTGTTGGCAACAACAATGTAATGATACGTCTTAATTTGTGCAGATTTAATCGGGATTTCTGATGCTGTCCTTAACTAAGATACTTAAACGCAATTATTTAAAGATAGAAATAACACGCCAACGTGTATCTCTTTCCCAGGTGTAGTAGACGTCACCATCGTCAGTAAGTACCAGTTCTTTGACGAGTCCGATGCCACCCAGGTGTACTGTTACTACACGGGTAGTTACAGCAACCAGAACGGGTACCAGTTCGGTGTAGAGGTCAACACTGGCTCTGGAACAACATTTCCCCGAGCGAGAGGCACCAGCAAGGTGTCAGGAGAATGGTGGAGTGTGAATATCCACAGTAACGCCGGTGACTTCCGGGTTGGAGCATTCTCCTGTCTAGTAAGCGACGGAAGTCAAACAGAGAAGGCCATCACCTTCAAAATGAAATCACAGGGTGAGAACGTGTTTGTTATCTACATATATCTTTATTTACTGCTTAGAATTTTTATGATTCAACATCCCTCAGATGCGAATTAATAACTATTACATATACTTCCATACTCCTTCCAGCTGATGTCTGGCCAGTGGCCTTCACAGTAACCGCCAGCCTTGGAGACCCTGTGACGCTACAGATGGTACAGAAGTCCAGTAGAACCGGTACGCTTATGTGGAGGAAGGACGGAAGTATCCTGTCTGGACAGAACGGACTCAGTCTGACCATAGCCAGTGTCCAGTCTTCAGATGAGGGGATCTATGAATGCTACTATCAGGGGGATACTGATAGAAAGCAGGGCATCATGAGGCTCATTGTCAGAGGTATCTTATATCATTCATATTTATGTAAATACAGGGAGAACAAAGGTAGATTACTAGTTGTAGCACCTCACGTAAGTTCTGTATCGTTGTGTTTATCGCTATTGATTATTCCTAAGCAGCTGACGCTCGCTTTATTCATGTTGAAGACGATCCACATACCTGTTCCTGATGCTGAAAACTACCCCCCTCCCTCCCACACAGACGAACATACCTGTCCCTTGTG